TGATATTTATCAAAACAATAGAAAGCAAACCTAGGTATGGCACACAAATACTAAAAAAAAAAAAAAAGTTAAAAAAAAAACACCTTATAGTAGCTGAAAAAAAAAAAAAAAAGCATTTCCAAAGAAGAATTTCCAATGCTCTGCTAACAAAGTTGCAATGCTTTAAAGGTACCACGCTGTGCCAAATTATTCTACCTACTATTTGAGTGTCTCTACACAGCAACATGATTTAGAAATTTATGGTACAAGTTTTGGAAGACTGATTAAACAAAAGAAAAACCATTTAAGAAGTACCTATTTTTAAAAAAAATAAAAATAAAAAAAAGTCCAGCCTAGGGATATAGCTCAATTGGTAGAGTATCTGCTTAGCAAGAACAATGCTGAGTTCAAGACCTAGCATTGCATACACAAAGACGATGGCTCAAACTTATGGGACTTGGAGACAGAAGCTCAGGAGTTCACTCAGCTACAGAGTGAGTTCAAGAGCAGCCTGAAAGGAACAAATTTTCCACATATTCTCACTGATATACTTTATTCAACTTGTCTGTCTGAAGAAAAGCTAACATCACCCATACCATATCCATGTACAACTTGCCAATCACTAAAGACAATTTCAAAAATAAAATCATTAGAATCAGTGTTTCAACAGATTTTTTTTAACTTGTAATATTGTTTTGTTTTTAAAGTAAGTGAGCATGCACTACATAGTCCAGGCTGACCTCAAACCTGAAATTCTCCTGCCTCAATCTGAGTTCCAGGATTTGGCATTTTATTTAAACAAAACAAAACAAAAAACAAACAAACAAAACAAAACAAACAAACAAAAAAAAAAAACAGGCCATATTAACCGTGGCACATACCTTTGATCCCAGCACTCAGAGAGGCAGAGGCAGGTGGATTTCTGTGAGTTCCAGGCCAGGCTGGTCCACAAAGTGAATCCAGGACAACCAACACTCTACAGAGAAACCCTGTCTCAAAAACCAAACCAAACCAAATAATAATAATAATAATAAAAGAAAAGCTTCTAACCTGTTTCAAATAAAAAATGAAGCACTCAGTGGGGCTTAGTGGCACATACCTTCAATCCCACACCTGGGAGGCAGAGGCAGGAGCCTGGTCTACATAGTAAGTTCCAGCTCAACCAGGGCTACACTGTGAGAACCCCTTCCCAAAAAAGTCTCCAACAAAAAAGAAAAATAGAAGGAAGGACACAAGCTCCTCAGAGAAATTTTCCCTGGCAGTCTGCTGTGCTGTCTTGTACCATTGAACTCTTGTTATAAGTGACCCAACATTGCTTATATTAACAAACTTTAGAGTAGAAACACACACACAAGCTCTAACTCTACAAAATGGAAAGTGATTTTTACAATGTGCTTAACAAGCAGACTGTACTGCTGGTTCTTGACAGATGAACAAAATCTGAAAGTGTTACTTTTTTACATTCAAAAAAGAACATTTATCTAGCACATTACATTTAATTTTATGATGAACCCTCCAAGCTTCCACCAAACCATTACAATCTGCTTTCAAAGTCCCCCAAAGAGTCATTCTTTTTACCAAGTAAGTCAAGGAAGATAAATCCCAACAGTCAAGCCGTAAGGCAGCCATCCACTTTCCTTTCCCTTCAATGCTCAAGATCCAACCTGCTTGTTAAACAAGCTGTCTGTCCAGCACAGAGCTACACCCAGCACCATCATAAAGAACTCACCTACAGAGACAACAGACTTCATTAATGCTACTAATTCATAGAGACTGAAAAATGCCAAGTAAAATCAGATGCCAGGAAGCCTAGCTCCTCAGGAGGCTGTCATGAAGATGGAAGATCACCTTAGAACATTATTTGAGCAACAAGATTACAGCAATAGTTTGAAAGCTCACCTCAAAATAAAGTGTTGGGTCTATATGAGTACACAAAACAACATGGTAGTATAATGGTATCATAAAGAACACATGACAGTTGAATGAGATAAAGTGTGTGTCTCAGCTCTGGCCCCCAACATAAAGATGTGTGAACATAAAGATGTTGTTTTGCATGGATTTCACTTTCCCAATCTAAAAAAACAAAAGGCCAGATTTCAGTGTTGCAACAATAATGTTCCATGATATCCTGACATAAATCCATATAAAATTAAAAGACAAGAGCAAGACAGAAGGCAACTGGGAAAGGGGATGTTTAAGGAAAAAGCACAGTAAATACATATGCAGAATCCATCACAAAACCCATCCCTTTGTATGCTAACTTGAAAAGGTAATGAGAGGAGGGCAAAAACAAAACAACAACAAAAACTCAGTTCAACACAACAGAAGTTTCTGACAGGCTTTACTCAAGGATCAAAATTAAAGTTCTTGGGGGCTGGCAAGATGGCACCAGCTAAATGCAAGCACTATTCTTGCAAAGGACCCAAGTCTGACTCCCAGCAACTGTACCAGTAGGCTCCTAACTGCCTGTAAGTTCAGTTCCAGGAGATCCAACATTCTTTTCTGGCACCTGTGCTCATGTGCACGTATCATAGCCTCAACATACATACATACACACACAATTTAACTGCTTAATTATATATAAAAAACTTAACTCTGGGTGGTCAAGATGCCTGCTGCCAAGCCTGATAACCTGAGTGATCATGGGACCTGTGCTGTAGACAGAGAACTGAGTCCCCACAAGTTGTCCTCTGACTCTGTGGGCCATAAGCACATGCGTCCACCTTTATGATCACGCAAAGATAAAAATGTAATTATGAATCTTTTCTTAAAAAACAGAACTTTGGACTGATGATATAACTCGGTGGTTTATAAGAAGCCCTGGGTCTGATCTCCAAACTGAAGGAAGGAAAAAGTGACAGGAGAGGGAGGGAAGAAAGGAGAGGGACTTCCCAGGAAGGGAAGGAAGAAATTAAGGAAGAAAGAAAGGAAAGCTTAACAAAATTTTACTTTCGTAATATACAGAGAATTGTTTTCTGGGCTTGGACAGATGGCTCAGTGGTTAAAAGCTCTTGCAGGATTTCGGTTCTGTTCCCAGAATCCACATCACATGGTGTGCGTATATGTAGGCAAAATACTCAAACACATAAAATAAAAATAAATCCTTAAAAGACTGTGAAATTTAGATGAAAGATATTACTGATTTCTAAACAGTGAAAAATATGCTCAAAGTATTATTTTAAGATCAGCACAGGCACAACACAATTGAGAACATCCAGGCAGAAAACCCAGTTAGAACTCGTGAGCAGTTCAGAAACAGAAATTAAAGAACAGTATAAAAATACAAAGATTTTTTTTTTTTTTTTTTAAGAAAATGCCTAAAAGAAATGGGACAATGTTAAGGTTTATGTCTGGTCACTGAAAGCAGGTTACGTAACATATCGCCAAAGAAAGATAGCACAAAACACCATCAGTTTTGAAAGGAAGACTTTAAAGTTCTATTTCCGAAATAGGTTAAAATGAGACTCATGTGGGCCTGTCAAACCGTCTTCAAAACTGTCAAATCTGTTAACTGGTCAGTAATTTCAAGTTTCCTTCAATTTTACTTATCGGTGAAATAATTATTTGATTTTCTAGCATTGAGACCATGCACTTTTTTTCCACATTACCATTGTTAATTCATTTTTTTTTCAAGTTTTCCTAAGAAGAAATTTATTTGTAATAATCACATCAAGCCTTGAACTCTGGAAAACAAAGTTCTCAAAGTACGAAAACCGGCAGCATAAACTATCACTCAATGTTCAATAGAGTAATACATTAAAGTGTCAACTTATTTACAGAGATCTATAAGCACTAGGAGAGTCTAAACAAACAAACAAAAATGCTTGAGGAGGCTTTTAAAACGTAATGCTCATACACTGAGCGAGATACCCAACACTGAGCACTCTTACAGCTATCCTAGCCAATTCCTACAGATCAGTTTTCCCAGAAAGCACCAAATGCGGTCACGATTAAAAAAAAAAAAAAGTACCAATCGACCAATGCATATGCCTTGATTTACCATCAAGATGTGCGTGCAATGTCTATTTTTAAAACGGGACTGAAAATTATCAAGCAAAACTTTCTTCTCGGACCATTTCTCCATCGATTTTCGTGACCTCAATAAAGACCGAAAGCAAACAACTGACTTCCAGGAGCCGAAGAAATCGTTCAGGCTGATCATAAAGCTACCAAAGTCAGGGTTTCGAAAATGAACACTTCTTGCAAAACTTGACCCGTTGTTGCCTGGACAACTGATTCTCACTGCTCCCCATCCAAGTCAGGAAGTTCTTCTTCACCTCATTCTTTCCTAAATCCTAAGGATTCTTGCCTAACGAACATAACGGGAGAATTTTTTTGGGGGGTGGTGGGAGGGGATTGACTTCAGCTCGGCTGGACACTAACCGACCGATGATGCTGATGATGTTACGGTTCTCAACCGTGAACAAAAAAAAAAAAAAAAAAAACACAACAGCTTCCCCCAGCTGTTAGCACTGAGCAGAAAACGGCCCGACACCGACCCAGCAGGCCGTTTTTCCTGGACCTACCCCAACTCCACAGTCCCCCCCACACCCCAGCCCGGCCACCCCCATTTCTCCTGCCCCGGGGCGGGAGGGGGAGGGAAGGCTGCGCCCCGAGGATGCCCCCCTCGCCGGCTTCCTCCCGCCGGCGGCTGGAGGTGAGGGCGCCCTTCCTGTCAGCCCCGCGCCCCTGCCTTCCCGGCCCCGGATGCCACCGCGGACCCCGACGGGGCTTCCCGCGGAGGAGCGCGCGCCGCACACCTGCCCGTCCGCCTCCCCGAGCGGCGGCCGCAGCCCGGGCGACAGGCCGCGGGGTCGCCGGGCTCGCTCTGCGCCGCGGACGCCCGAGCTCCGCCGGGCGGCCTCCCCGCCCCCCTCCGCTCCGTTCCGCCGCCGGCAGACGGCGCCCCCGGGCTAACTTCGCCGGGGAAGAGGAAGCGACGAGAGACGAACAGGCAGGCGCGGGCGGACCCGGGAGGGCCCGGAGTGGACCGTGCGTGCGTCGGGGCAAGGCCGCCTCACCTTCCCTCCGCCGAGCCCGCGGCTCCAGTCGCCTGAGGGCCGCACCGGGACGCCACCGCGGCTGACCGGACGCCGTTCCCGCACGAGGCCTGTGCTGCGCCGCCGCGTAGCTCTCGGGGAGGGGCGGGGCGCGCGCAACCGGTGGGCGGGCCTGTGCGGGCAGGAAACCCCGCTCTACGACCAATCTAATAGGCCCCATCGCCTCCGGTCCCCGCCCCCGACGCTCTAGCGGAATGCGCCGCTCCGGGATTGGGCGAGCCGGCCTGTCAATCAGCAGCGGGGGCGCTGAGCGTGGTGTGAGCTGAGGCTGCGCGGGGCGCAGACGGGGGAAGGTGAGGAGCGCTGGGCCCCGCGGGCTGCGCTCTCCCCCAGCTTCCTCGGTGGCTGCTTACTTTTCCGCCTCTCCCAGCGCTGCTAAAACCTGTCATTGGAATCGCTCATCAGGGTCGGACAGTGGCCCCGAGTTCGACCCACACTACCCCGCGAGGGCTGAGCAGCTGCACATTCTTAGGGGCAGGGAGCAACAAAGGAAACAAGCCTCGGAGGAAAATGTAGGATATTTGTCCGTTGACACCGCAACCGAAATAAGCTGTCTGAGGGACTTCCGAGTGCCCTGGCGCGTGAGCAGCCTTCACTCTGGGCTCCCAGCCCTGGGAAAAAGACATTTACCTTTGCCCTTGGGGTGAGCATGATGGCAGTGACACAGCCACCTGCCAAGGCATCAGTAAGTCGACTGTCTACGTAACTAGCCTCGAGGCCACACATAACCTGCCTCACTATTTCCTGATCACTTTCGTTGCTTAGTGTGGGCGTGGCACCTAAAAAAAAAAAAACAAACACAAAACCCTCTAGGTTAGGTAACTTTGTAGAGACGTGTTTTTGCCTCCAGCGTAGGCTGCACCCGTACACCTAGATTGCAAAGTCTAGTAAATGAGGAACTGTGTGAGCGCTCCTCTGCGACTCCGCCTAGCACATCCTTGTCAATAATGGAGGCGTTACTGCGTCTTTCTTTCACTTTTTATTTTCTGTGTGTTTCGATGCTTGGCGTACGTGTATGTATATTTGTGTATCGTAGGCCTATCTAGTGTCCCTGCAGGCCAAAAGAGGGTATAGGATCCTCAGGAACTGAAGTTATAGATGGTTTTGAACCACCCTGTGGGTGCTGGGAATCAAACCCAGGTCCGGCGGAAGAGCAACCATGCTCTTAATCACTGAACCATCTCTCCAGCCCCTTTGTTTCACTGAAACTACAGGCCCTACCTGTAAGTCCTAAAAAGTCACTTTCCTGCTAATTGCATGTTGACAGATACATAGGTTGGCCTGCCCTATGTAAAATACAAATTACCTGTGGCCCCTTCTTAGCCTTAGATGAGAGAAGTAGACCATAAAACTGAGCAAAGGATACTCCACCTACATTCCATTGTTAGCATCAAAAATAAGCAATGCAAATTATATATTTAAAAACATTCAGAGCACAGGGTGGTGGTGCCACATGCCTTTAATCCCAGCTCTTACAGGAGCAGAGGCAGGTGGATCACGACCAGCCCTGGTATACAGAGTGAATTCCAGGACAGCCAGCACTTCACAGAAAATTCCTGACTTGGAAAACAAAAATACAAAAACAAAAAACCATATAGACCATCACACCTTTTATCTCAAAACTGGAGAGGCAGAGGAGGTTCAAGTTCTGCAAGCTTAAGGCCAGCCTGGTTGGTCTATGTAGCAAATTCCAGGACAGCCAGGGCTACACAGAGAAACTCTGTTTCAAAAGCAAACAAAAATCATACAGGCAGCTCACCCCCACTAACTCCAAAGGAGGAGATTTGGGATAATAAAGAAAGGGAATATGAACCCTCCATATCTTAAGGCCTTTCCCGGGAAACTACTGACAGTTTATAGTTAGAATAACCTAGTTTAGCATTCCTATCAGACAGAAATGTTTAGGGGGGAAAAGCCGGACCTATGTGTTTCCAAGGGGTGATCACAGGCTTGATACTGAAGTGTAGAAAGCAGTGGGCCCTACCAACTAAATTTAATTTCCAGATTTAGTTTAGTTACGCTGAAAAGGCCCTCTGTGTATGGTGGGTATCTTAAGAGTTCATACCAGTGTCAGATACTGAGATTTAAATCAACCTGAATTATTAAGCTGCAAAACGCAACAACACTTGTATCTAGGGACAGAGAGACATTAAGCCACAGTGAGAGGGGAAATGTGTAGTCAGAGTATTTGGGCAAAAAAGAAGGACTTTTTTTTGGGGGAGGGGTTACATAATATGAAGGCATTAAGCCTGTGGAAGTCAAAGGAAAAATTTCCAAAGTTGGTTCTCTCGTTTCACCATATGGATTGCACTGATCCGGTTGTCAGGTGGCAAGAGCCCTTTATCCACTGAGCCATCTCACTGGCCCTGTGGCTCTTACTGTATTTCTATATATTTGTCTTTTTGCTCTGGTTATTTTTAAGATTCAGTAACCCCACCGCCATTAGCAGAGGCAGGCGATTAAGTTGCACTGTTTCTAGGTATCTTTTTCTATTTATCCTGCCAGACATTGATCTAGTCCCCCAGATTTCTAATTGCTGGTGGTTGTTTTCTAGATTGAATCGATTTTTAAACCGTTCTGGTTAATATTCTTTCGATTTCTTTTCTCTACCCTGTTTTCTCTCCTCTTATGCTGCACCTCTTAGTCCAGTCTCACTGCAGCTTTGCTCCTGCGACTCATGGGTGCTGCCCAAGCATCCAGCCATCGGGCCATGCTCCCAGCCATTTTAATTGTTTTATTTGCACACTGGATCTTGCTAAATTCCCCAAGCCGGCCTCAAATTCCAGGAGCATGCTCCCTCGGCTTCCGAAGAAGTTAAGATTACAGACTTACACCTTCACGCCTGGTTCAGTTTGCATAATGTCTATTGATAACTAATGTCTAGTAATCCCTGAAAATTTAAGTGTCGATGTTTTCCCAAAGCTAGGTACCTTATTAATGGCTTTGGATTTGTTTGGAGATGATTTGGTGACATTTTACTCAGGAAAACAGAAATTACAAAAGATCACACTGGAGATTTGGTATTATGTGTTAATGGACTGAAAAAAAAAAAAAAAACTGAAGCCAGGTTTGCTGGCTCATGCCTGTCATCCCATAATTGGGGAGGCAGATGCAGGAAGGAGCACCCCAAGTTCGAAGCCAGACATTGTTTATAGTGAGACCCTGACTCAAGTAGACAAAAGGGAGGGCAGGCACACGGGGCTTGGGGGCCCTGGGAAGACATTGAGGTAACCCAGAGGAGATTGCTTCATGGATCAGTTATCAAACCTAAGGACAGTGAAAAGGGAGAATGAGGTTTAGACTATAGAATTTCAGAAGCTCAGAGGCATGACCCATGATAGAGCTTAGACATCTAGGTAGAATCTCTCCAGCTGGCTTTTCTACTGCTCAGAGGGAATGATGTTGTAGGCAGGGGCTGTAGGAAGGAATAATGCCAAAAGTAACCTAAGGATAAAATTAGGTCCTGCTGATGGCTGGAGTCAAACAGCAACAGATGATAAAGGCAAATAGAAAGCGGAAAATCCCTCCTCTTTTTGCCTTCTAATCTTCCTCTAGTGGCTTCTTTTGTGCTTGCTTACTTACTTACTTACTTATTTATTTATTTATTTATTTATTTATTTATTTATTTATTTATCTATTTATTTATTTAATATATTTATTGACTTGCTTACTTACTTATTTGCAGTACTGGGGGTTGAACCTAGAGCACCTTGCTGTGTAGTAGCTAAGTGCTTTGCCTTTGAGCTATAAACCCGGCAGACCCCCTTTTGAAAACAGGTCTGTCTAGGTTGCCAAAGCTAACCCTGAACTTTGCAATTCACCTGACTCAGCCTCCCAAGCAGCTAGAATTACAGTCCTTTGCTGTCAAGCTCAGCCCCTCTGGAATGTCCTTCGTAGGCAGAACCCTATGAGAGGTACTAGCTAGCATTAGAAAAATGAAATGTGTCAGGTCTTCGCTTTTAACATCACATAGGAAAATACAAAAGGGAGTGGAAGCTAAGAGACGATACCTTAGTAATCAGTGTCATGTCGACATGTGCTTGTGCAGAATTAATAGTGACCCAAATTAGACTCAAATTAATGCTATCTTGTATGCTTTTACAGACCTAGAGGCCCTTTTGAAGAGATTCTAAGGATACCAGGTCAGTTTTCTGCTCTCTCATGATTACTGCTGGTGTGTTAATTTTTTTAATTATAATTTTGCTTTATTCTTGAGAATTTCATACATGTATACAATGATGTAAGATCATATCCATCCCCATTTCTCTCCTCTGACTCTCCCTGTATGCCTCTCAACATGTCCCCCTCCCAACCTAATGACTTTTTTTTTTTTTTTTTTGAGATAGGGTTTTTCTGTGTAGCCCTAACAGTCCTGGAAATGACTTTTTTTTTTTTTTAACCCAGTAAGTCCCATTAATGGTGTCTATATGTTGGGGTTTGGGAGACCTGGAACACAGAAACATACCAATAGGAACATCCTCAAAACAAACAGACAAAACTGTTCTTCCTCCCTCCAAGAACTCAGTAAGGCACGGATCCTGGAGGGTCCCTCTCCCATCTATGCTGGAATTGTGGTGAGCTTTATCTTGTGCGAATGTTGAGCAAGAAACCACAGCTGCTTAGAGTTCATCAGTAGAATAGACATGCCACTGTCTTTTTTTTTTTTTTAAGTATGGCGTGTCTGCTTTACTTAATACTTACCATAGAATCATAGACAGGAACAGCCATGGAAAAGATTTACATATATGAGGATAAGGAGACTCTGCCCACATGGTAGATTCCACATCATCAGGCAAGAAACTGGCATGTATGATGGATTATAGGCAGCTGGTGAGAATCATTATACCCTACCCTCATCCCCTAAACATTGCCTAATGTGGCCTACTATGGGAAACAAAATTTTCCATTCTAATGTTTAGACTCCCCTCCCCTTACTCATCTCAACTCAAGCCCTTTTAGGACCTCTTAGATTTTTACAGGAAAAACGGACTTTAGCTAATGTGTTCAACATTTTATCCAATAGTGTAATTTTCATGAATAAATATTTTTTAATATGGAAGGCTGTTTGTTGC